TTAGATTAGCATGCAATTGATCAATGAAAAGCCAACAGAATTATCTCAGTTGTGTTGAACAGTATTCATCAAAAGACAGCCCAATCATGGTTGGAAGCAAAGATGGCTGTAATACTGGCATATTTTATTATCTTGTTGAGAATGGCTGAACATTATGTTTTAAGTCCTTTTTCAGCAAACCTATTATGAAATCACTTGAGGTGTCTTCAAAACATTCTTGTAGAATTCAAAACAGTATGCTCACTGGGACCTTTTCAATTTGATAAACCAAAAGAGACTGAAAATACTTTTATGCACCCGTATATAAACCATACAGTATGTAATTCTGTAGCATATGTATCATAGTTTAAAGCAACATTAAATAGAAAACATTAATACTGTCCATGATAACTCTGCAAAATTGTTCTTCTCGGATTTCATTGCAGAACAAAAGAAGGGCAAGCACACGCCTAGAGAACCTGGTATGTTTGTTTAAACTAATCCTGTTGATTGGTCCTTGTGATATCCCTTCAACTTGAATGCATAAATTATGTATAGTAAGTAATGCAACAGATAAGGAAAAGCGCTTTTTTCAAAGTTATGGGAAGTTTAGTATCATGAATGTATTTCTTATTATAATGAGCCATGCCGGAGGTACATTTACTTACTCTGATATTTAATCTAGTGCTACAGCCTTTAGCAGCTGTTGTTGTATAATTTCAGAGGCATGTAGGTGAATACTCAGGCATGGATCTAGGATAAAGGGTGACTGGTTTCAAAAACAATGAGCACCAAAGGTGCAACCTTCTAGAGGGGTCCAGGGCTATTCTCCGCTGGAAATGTTTTGGATTTCAACTCCCTGTAGTCTGCTTTCCTGGGTTTCAAAGTCATTCTGAAAAATCTGACAGATTTCTGTAGATCAGTGGAAACTGGTGTGGATCTGTGCCTGAATGCTAGTGGTTTTAATTTATGTTTAATTAGTTATTATTTTTTTATTTTTTGTTACCAGGGAATTCCAGAGGAAGAATTGCTTAGGCAACAGCAAGAACTCTTTCAACAAGCTAGGCTGCAGCAGGCACAGGTATTAAATTGATTTCGTGAATGGACTAGCATAAGATAATGGGGAGAGTAGAAATACTTCTACATGTAGTAGCTTCATGCTACAAAAACTGGAGGTAAGTATCAGCCTGATGGACCACTTGGCTTGCACTGCAGTTTAGTTAGCCTTGTTATAGCCAAGTAGTCTGATTAATCAAGAAGTTGTAACCAGTAAGTGGGAGAGGCGAGAACTTACTTGGTGTTCAAACATTTTCGTGTCGGATGGCAGATGTTGGCTAGCAGCAAGCTGTTAGGGTAACTTGACGAAATTTGAAGGGGGAATAGAGATGGGCAATCTGTGATGTACGATGGTATACTGTGTATCAGTAACAAGCAGGAAGGAAGCTACTGGTGCATGTTTGTATCTAGTCACTTAACACTACAGAAATTAGAGCCAATGCTGATAAGCCAATGTAAAGTGCTAAGGTAAAGTCAGCACCAGACGGAAGTGTCTCTGATGCTGCTGGAGATTATTCGGCTTTCCAGCTATCCCAGGTAGCCCTGCTGATCTCTATCTACACTGAAGAGTGGAGTTCACATTTTTCTTGTTAAATTAATTTGATTTAATTTGTGAACTCTTATCCTTCAGGCTGAACAAGAAGAATTCCAACAACTTCAACAAGCACAGACAGCAGCCTACCAACAGCAGTCGCAACAACAGCAACAACAACAAGAAGAACCAATGCAGCAGCCGAGCACATCTACTACACAACCTGTAGCCACACAGTTAAATAAATAACATGATACCTGTTGACAAATTGTGGTGTTATAGTATGTTAATACTTTAATTAAGTCCATCTGAAATGGAATTTTAAGTTGCCACACAAAATGCACATTTTGCATTCCACATAGTTTTATGTTGGGCGAAAAAAAAAATTTCAGTAGTTTTCAAGCTATAAAGTTTGTCACTATACTAGTTGACAAGGAGCACAATAACATTGTTGGTACGGTCTGTAGCAACCATCGTTCAGGCTGAAGTAAAAAACATACTGTAAGGTGTATGTGTATGCCACAATGGATAAATTCAGCTTAGTTATTTTCTCTTATTATTTAATTTTTTTTTACTGAAAAGAACCACAAGAATTATTGCAATATTCTTGTGGTTTTCCAACCTTAAAATGATGCATTGTTAAGTCTGAACAACTGACTGGCTGGCTGACCGATTGACAGACTGACTGATTCAGTGACTAACTGACTGACTGACCAACTGACCAACTGACCAACTGACTGACCGACCGGCTCAGTGACTTACAGAGTGACCGACTGAGTGACCGATCAATTTGCAGATGGAAAGATATTCCCGTGAACTAACACCTATGAAGTAAAAAGTCATTATTGTATTCTAGTACATCTATAGTAAACAATAAACAACAACTACATTGTAGTGCACATTGGTGTGACTGTAATTTAATTTCTATGGGCGTGCAAATCCAACCACAATCACAGACAAAAGTAGCTGACACTCCCTGTAAACAAACCTTCTCTCTTCAAATGCAATTTGTTTTCCCTACACTACTCATATGGGAGGTGTTGTGGCCTCATGGTTAATGTGCTCGTCTCTGGATCGAGCAATCTCACAGTACCTCTCCACCCAGGTGTATAAATGGGTACTGGCGAATTAATGCTGGGGGTAAATTTGCAAAGGACTAGCATCCCATCTGGGGGGGAGTAGAAATACTCCTGGTAGCTTCATGCTACAGAAACTGGAGAAAAGTGCAGGCCTGATAGGCCACTTCGTTTGTATGCAGACTCCTCATATTTCACTCCCTCCCCTACCCTCCCTTCCAATGTCATAATCACTTCACATCATTGACAAAGCCTGTTTCAACATTGACTGTGTCACATTACGTCATGCCACATGCTCCCATCGGGCCTCGGGAGCTCGAGGCGGAACAGGAGCGATCCGCCATATTGTTCACTCGTGTTGTTATGTTTTCAGCCGTTGCGTTATTAAATAACGAACTTACAAGACAATATTGTGACAGACTGTAAATTAAGTTCTATTTGTAGCTTGGAGCATTCCTGTGTTTTGAGTCATTAGCAAATTCTAGAGTTGGAAGAACAGGAGATCTGCAAGGATGGGAAAACATGAAGCCGCGGAAAGTGCTTGGTTTTGGTTTTCGCTAAATTGGCTGAAAAAATAAGATTGTCGCTTCCATTGTTTTTGTCGAGCAAAAATGGATATTCTAGTTAAATAACAGCGAGTCATAAGTTTAAAAGAGTTTTAGAGACATCAGTCTGATTTGAGGCAATTTCTCGACTCCGTGGAATTATATTACAGGTAATGTTGGATTTTTTAAGTTTTACAAAGATAAAGTTAGCATCATACATTTGCATTTCTGCAAACCCTAAAACGGGGAAGAGGTTCGAGGAAACTAGAATAACCTCCAATAAAAAGATTCGCATATTTCACATGAAATACTACAGGATAAGAAGATATGCTCTCCATTCAATACAACGCCATTCAGCGGCGACGCAAATCATGTTACAAACCCATAAGATCAAAATACTGAAAAAAAATATTTCTAGCAATATGCAAAGAACCTGGCATAGGTTGAAATATTTTTATAACATCTTATCAATATTCAACAACTTCAAGCATTACTGGAATTCACCAGTAAATTGTTAAAAGCCTTTTAAGAATAATAACCTATGTACAATAATTAATCACAAATTACAGTCAAATCTAAATAGCTACAAACTAACACTAATAATGACCAAAT